ATATTGTACATATTGTCGACACATGATTCATAAGCCCCCTGTCCCCCGGTACGGATTGCCACCCGGATCCGCACTTTCGTCGTTGAGGCGCTCTTTACATCTGTCCCAAGACCTGAGGAGCTAAGTAGGTAACCTTTAACCTTTTGGGGGCTTTTATAATCCTATATACCATAATTGAAGAGGTTAGCCTTTTTTGGGCTACGGTACTCAGCCCCTTAGAGACAACCAAGGCGATGAACGTCTCGATGAAGGTTCCGTCGAAAGAGGACCTGAAATCCTGTGTCGGATGGGATTTCTGGCGCCTCGGCATTCCTTTGTTCTGCTTTGGGCTTGAAATCCTAAGCCCTAAAGTCGGCGAAGCCATTCCTTATTGTACTTACACTGTGATATATCCTTCATATGAACCTTCTACAAAAATGTATATATATATATATATATACAGACACACACACACACACTATAACACACGATCCGAAGCACCAAGACAGCGGCTTAGGGTTTACGCTTTGGGATCCAGGGCCTTGGTTTAGGTTGGCCTTAATTATACCCCTAGTTACTAAGTCCCATGATCCTCTAAGTAGTGGATCCCAGAAGGCTGGACCATGGATAAAAGATGACTAATGCTGGGATTCCCTATGCTTTACCTTGGGGGCACGAGGATAATGATGTTCCAACTTTCTGGCTTCTACTATAACGTCTGAACCCTACACCTTCCCTCACCTCAGACAGATTCGAAAAAAGGACCTCCACTTCTACTTCACCTGATCCCCTAAGCTTGGGCTCAACACAACTTCTTGCGCCTTAGCCTTGAAGCCCCGACTTGACTTTTTAACAAGCTTCTCTTATTGAAGCCTTATGACGCTCGAGTAAGACCATTAAGGTTTAGGGTGCAGGGTTCAGGGTTTAGAGGTTAGGGTGTCTAACCCCAGAACCCCTCCACAAGGTACGATTACTTCTGCTGCCCACAAGGGCCAAAGGCAAACGGATCCCCTGCGCATGGCTGGAAGGGGGAAAACCTGCAGGACGCCCGTGTGGGGCTTTGGGGTTTGGGCTTGTTTGCGGTGAGCAACTACGGGAACTTCGCAAAAACTTGAAAGTTAGCAACTCTGACTCTACGACCATATTTTGAGCCTCGGGGTAGGGTTTAGGCATGAAAGGAAAACCAGTGTCAAGACGACGTTGACCTTTCTCAGACGCGGGTGAGTGCCATGATGATGATGGGGATGTGGATGTGGATGATGATGATGGTGATGATGATGTTTTGAGCTGGTTGTTGTTGTCATGTCGAACGGGTGAGGGGATCTAGTGTAGGGGTCGAGCCGACCTTGTGTCCCCAATTCCCACATGAAAACTCCTAAACCCTAATCAACCCAAAACCGTAAACCCTAAACAACCCTCAACCAACCCTAAACCCAAATCAACCCAAAACCCAAAACTGTTGAACTTTAGTTCCCCGAGTCCCGAGCCGAGCTCTAAACCCTCAAAGCCCTAAACCCTAAACCTTTAAACCCGAAACCCCTGAAACCCTTAGACCCTGAACCCTAAACCCTAAGCCCTGCCGCCTCAAGAGACTGAGAGGCCGCCATCAGCAGCATCCCCGCCTACTGCACGCGAGCTGACTACACCATCGTCCTGGCGCCCTCACTGCGGCACATGGACAACATGTCGGTGTTGAGCACCCGTCTTTGGGACAAGAATCGGAGTTCGTGATGTTTATATGGATGAAGACGGTGAGCAGCTGTGAGTTGTAGGTCTGTTGCAGTCACTCCCGTTACTGCTGTCAGTAATCTTGCCACTCCTTGGCAATAGCAGTCGCAGTAGCATCAGTAGTAGCAGCAGAAGTCGAAGAGGCGGAAGTAGCAGCAGCAGCGTCAGTGGTAGTAGCAATAGCAGTAGCAGCTGCAGCAGCAGCAGGAAGGAAGAAGGAATGGTAGTAGTAGCGGCAGTGGCAGCGGTACCAGCGGTAGCAGTAGTAGCAGGTGGCAAGTAGTGGCCTTAGTAGCATTAGTAATTGTAGTTGCAGCAGTAGCAGTAGCAGTAGCAGTAGGAGTGGGAGTAGGAGTAGGAGTAGGAGTAGGAGTAGGACCAGGGGTAGGAGTAGGAGTAGGAGGGGAGTAGTAGTAAGTAGTAGTAGCGGTAGTGGTAGTGGTAGTGGTAGTGGTAGTGGTAGTGGTAGTGGTAGTGGTAGTGGTAGTGGTAGTGGTAGTGGTAGTGGTAGTGGTAGTGGTAGTAGTAGTAGTAGTAGTAGTAGCAGCAGCAGTAGTAGTAGCAGTAGTAGTGTAGCAGCATTAGTAATTGCTTCTGCTGCTGCTACTGCTACTGCCTTTACCACTGCCACTGCCGCTGCTACTGCTATTGCGACTGCTGCTGCTGCTACTACTGCTGCTGCTGGTGCTGCTGCTACTGCTGCTGCTAGTGTTGCTTTCCTTTTAATGGTGATCGTCCCCATATTCCATGAACTATGCCCTTCTTGTGGGCAGCAGAAACTGTTTTGAGGATCGTGGCACCGCCGCGGATGGTGCAGAGCAGAAAGAATCGCCAGCCTTTTCTCCCGCTTCGGGGCGGGGGCGCCTCGGTCGCACAAAGGGATATCCCGAAGTTTCCAAAACCAAGGCCTACTTGGAGGATCATGGGACTTAGTAAGTGTGGTTATAAGTACCTGAATTGGGGTTATGAGTAATTATAAGTATAGTTACCTTGATTATATCCCTGGTTACTAATCCCATGATCCTCTAAGTAAACGGCAGACCCTCGATCGAAATACCGGTTTCAGTTGGGGAGGAGCGGTTTCATGGACCGGCTGCGAGGGCTTCGTACTCAAACGTCGTTCGGGAGCATAGCCAAGAGGACCTATAAACGCCATTATGAAGGTGATTATAAGGCTACAGTAGAAGCCAGAAAGTTGGAACATCATGATTTTCATGCCCTTAAGGTAAAGTGGAGGGAATCCTAGCAATAATCATCCTAAAACAATGTTCCAACTTTCTGGGGTTCACCATATCATAAGGGCTACTACAAGGGATGCTCCATGGGTTGCCATGGTCCTTTTAACAGTAAACACGAAAACGTCGCGTTATGGAGAACGGTGTTGGTCTTGCCGGGGGCTCTGTAGCTTTGGGGACGAACTGTGAGACTTGAGCCCCAACGCCCATACCTCGCATCTAATCATCTAACCCTAAACCCAACACCCTGCTCCACCTGGGTGGTTGTCAAAATTAGGGTCCCTTGTTGGGTGCCCTACATAGTCGGTGTCGTATTATATAAGGGACCCCAAAAGGAGCCATAATACCTACTATTTAGGGACCCAAAAAGGAACCATAATACCTACTATGTTTTGGGTACCCTAAATAGTTGGTGCCTTAGGCACCCAAAAAGGAACCATAATTTTGACAACCACCCACCTGGTTGGGCGGAGAAGCGGTGAGTCCAACCTGCCAGGCTTCGGGCAAAAATCTCGAATCCTGAACGGTTTAGGGTTTAGGGTTTAGGATTTAAGGTTTAGGGTTTAGGGTCCATTGCACTTCCAAGGAGTGGTCGCTTCTGGTTCTCTCCAGCCCTTCCAGGCAGCAAGCATGAACAGTTCGAAGGCTTAGAGGGTCCCGGGGGCTTAGGGGTTAAGGCTTACAGGATTTCGGGCTTAGGGTTTACGAATTCCAGTTTGGGGATTTGTGGGTCTCAGCGTGAGGGCTTGGGCTTGTGGTGAAGGTCTTTCCGGGGCTCCAGATTTTCCAGCTCAGGCTTCGGCGTATTTTAAGCCTGAAGCGGATGTGGGAGTTTCCGAAAACTAGGGGTACCTTAATGTGAAACAGGGCCGGAGCCACGTGAAGCACACGCAGCAAAGGGGCATGTGCGAAAGGAGAAACGTGGCAGCGGACAAGAACACGGACAGCTGCTAACATCGGGCTGATTGAGTGATAGCGTGATACACAAGCAGTACAAGCATTATTTGTCCTGAACTCGAACCAGTCTCATCCCACAGTTCATATCCGCCGGGCAGGGGCTGCGTGGTACTCGAAAACCCAGTGTGATGTTCCGGGATCCAGATGAAGCATCTGAAGCATAGTGGACAGGTTCCCTTTGAAGCCTAAGAAGGCAAGATATAACCGATTCGATTCAGAACATCCCACAGCCGCCCTCTACCCTGTACAGAAGCCCTCTCAGAAGAAAGCTTAATGGAGAATCCGAAACTTCACAATATACATACAAAAATCTACGCCGCAAAGCCCTAAACCTCTTTCAGATTGCCCAGAGGCTCTCGGTCTCGGGTGGGCCAGAGTGGGTGAGCAGCTGGCCTGCCGCGGGCCATTTTACTTTAGAGGAGGAGCGCACCGCAGCGATGCCACACGATGTTGATGATCAACCCTAAGCCCGAAGCCCAAGCCAAAGCCCCGAACGAAGCCCAAAGCAAGACCCAAAGCCAAGCTGCAAACGAGGACCGCGAAGTGCTCCGACAGCTTACGCGTCAGGTCATTGAGGCCTTTCTTTCGTGGGGGTGGAGAGAGCGGGGGTTCCTTTAAGGGTTCCTTCAAGGGTACTTTGAGGGGTTCCTCTAAAGATTGAAAGGTAATTGGGGTTTAGGGATGAAACAGTTTAAAGGGTTTAGGGCTTGCTTCGGGTTCGGCTGTGGTTTGAGGTGTAAGCTTGTAGGGTTAAGGTCTGGCGGCTTGCCATTTGCAGCAAGCAGAAGACTACGGACGAACAGGAATGTTGCATATACCAGGCCGAACACACCAGGTGGTTCGCAACTGTGTCGGCAGGTACGAAGCGTACTCGAAAGAGCAATATCGTAGCCCCGACCCCGAGACATCCCTAAACGCCCTCAAGGGGAATGTTGTCCCTCAAGAACACGCCAGAGAAGCTCTAAATCCGAATAACCTTTTATCAACTCACGCAAGTTCTTCCTTTTTTCACCATGAGAAGCCGCCCAAAATCCTTTTGCTGTAAGAACCGCGAGAAGACCCGAGGCAAAGTGCCGGAGCTTGCTTTCTGCCGGTGAGCTGATGAAGTGGCGTTTCTACCAGGCCAGGATTTTGGGTTTAGGGGTGGAGGCTTGTGTTGATTCGGGAGGCTTAAGTTTTACCCTGAACCCTCAACCCTGAACCCTAAACCCTAGACCCTAAACCCAAAACCCCTAAACCCTAAACCCGTGGGCCCAAAGCCGAAGAAAAAGCTTGCAACGGTGTAGGGCTGACGAGGGGCAACCCAAAGGACGAGAGTTACACGAAGCCGTTCATCCCATGACGGAAATCTTCCTGCAAGGCACCGTCAAGCCGGCGGTAGGCCAAACCACGAAAAGTAGCAAAGGGGCCCTAACCATGGTAAATATGGGGGTTTGGGGTATAGTATTGTAAGAGGGGCTTTCAGGGGGGATCATCAGTAGTTTTGCGAATCTCTATATTCAAGCACCAAGCCAATTAGTGGCGAGCGCTTCTGTCTACATCATACCCAATCCCGAGGCGCATCACGTCGGAGGTTCGGATAGGGGGTGGGGTGCCGGCTAAACCCTGGACTGAGGGTGGGGTAGAGGGCGGACCCGAAGAGCCCAGCCCTGGTCCATTAAAGTCCTGAAAGTCATAGGAATTAGCCATTACTTCATCACGACAAGAGCACCTTTCATCGTTGCTGTCACCGTTGTGGTTTCTCTTATATACAGTCATTCCTATGTCTTGTCGCCCAAAGCCCTAAGCCCCAAACCCTAAAGCTCGAACCCTAGAACCTTGAAGCCCGCAGCTGCAGAATCTCGCGCCCAGAGCTCTAAACGCTCAACCCTGGACACCCAAACAGCAACCCCAAACCGTTAATATAGGGGCCGAAATAATTACCAATACTGGTTTGGGTGTTCTTTACTCTAGATACATTATACTGGGCCCCAAGCCCTACTCTACTTATGAAGGCCCCTATGCTATGGAACCCTGCTATAAGTCCCTTGTAGAGCCCTTCAAAGGAACCCTTTCAAGGGAGCCCTATTCCAAGTATTTAGGGGAGGTGTATTTATTTTGGGATTTTTTCTTTTTTTTTGGGCATTTTTTTTTTTGGCTTGTGTGCGCGCTTGGCTTCTTGGCTTCTGGCTTCTTGGATTCCCTGGCTTCTGGGCTTTTGGCTTCTCGGCTTCCCTGGCTTCTTGGCTTCTGGCTTCTTGGCTTTTCGGCTTCTTGGCTTTTTCACTTCGCAACTTCTTATACTGTCTAGCTTCGAGAATACTGCCTCCTTATGTCGTACAACAACGCGTCAGGGTGGTTTAATGCGAAGAAAACACAATCAGTCGTGAAGGGTTTAAAGGGTTTGTAAATACAACAAAGCGTCAGGGTGGCTTAATGCGAAGTAAACACAATCAATCGTGAAGGGTTTAAAAGGTTTGCAAATGGGGGGGGCCAACCCCCCCGCTTTTTTTAGGCTAAAGTTCCCGCTCACTAAAAGGCCGCGAAGAGATGCACAAAAACGTATTCGCCAAAGCACAAGAAGAAGAAAGCCAGACAACAACGCGTCAGGGTGGTTTAATGCGAAGTAAACACAATCAATCGTGAAGGGTTTAAAAGGTTTGCAGGCTGCGCCCCCCCCAACCCCCCCGCTTTTTTTAGACTAAACTCCCCGCTCACTAGCACGAAGAGATGCACAAAAACGTATTCGCCAACACAGTAGAAGGAGAAAGCCAGACAACAACGCGTCAGGGTGGATTAATGCGAAGAAAACACAATCAGTCGTGAAGGGTTAAAGGGTTTGTAAATACAACAAAGCGTCAGGGTGGTTGAATGCGAAGTAAACACAATCAATCGTGAAGGGTTTAAAAGGTTTGGAAATGGGGGGGGCTGCGCCCCCCCCAACCCCCCCGCTTTTTTTAGACTAAACTCCCCGCTCACTAAAGGCACGAAGAGATGCACAAAAACGTATTCGCCAAAACACAAGAAGGAGAAGTCCAGACAACAACGCGTCAGGGTGGTTTGATGCGAAGAAAACACAATCAATCGTGAAGGATTTAAAAGGTTTGCAACTGGGGGGGTGGCTGCGCCCCCCCCAACCCCCCCGCTTTGTTTAGGCTAAACTCCCCGCTCACTAAAAAGCCGCGAAGAAATGCACAAAAACGTATTCGCCAAAACACAAGAAGAAGAAAGCCAGACAAGAACGCGCCAGGGTGGTTTAATGCGAAGTAAACACAATCAATCGTGAAGGGTTTAAAAGGTTTGCAGGCTGCGCCCCCCCAAGCCCCCCCGCTTTTTTGGCTAAACTCCCCGCTCACTGGCACGAAGAGATGCACAAAAACGTATTCGCCAACACAGAAGAAGGAGAAAGCCAGACAACAACGCGTCAGGGTGGTTTAATGCGAAGAAAACAGGGTGGTTGAATGCGAAGTAAACACAATCAATCGTGAAGGGTTTAAAAGGTTTGAAAATGGAAAATGGGGGGGGCTGCGCCCCCCCAACCCCCCCGCTTTTTTTAGACTAAACTCCCCGCTCACTAAAGGCACGAAGAGATGCACAAAAACGTATTCGCCAAAACACAAGAAGGAGAAGTCCAGACAACAACGCGTCAGGGTGGTTTGATGCGAAGAAAACACAATCAATCGTGAAGGATTTAAAAGGTTTGCAACTGGGGGGGTGGCTGCGCCCCCCCCAACCCCCCCGCTTTGTTTAGGCTAAACTCCCCGCTCACTAAAAAGCCGCGAAGAAATGCACAAAAACGTATTCGCCAAAACACAAGAAGAAGAAAGCCAGACAAGAACGCGCCAGGGTGGTTTAATGCGAAGTAAACACAATCAATCGTGAAGGGTTTAAAAGGTTTGCAGGCTGCGCCCCCCCCAACCCCCCCGCTTTTTTTAGACTAAACTCCCCGCTCACTAGCACGAAGAGATGCACAAAAACGTATTCGCCAACACAGTAGAAGGAGAAAGCCAGACAACAACGCGTCAGGGTGGTTTAATGCGAAGACAACACAATCAGTCGTGAGGGGTTTAAAGGGTTTGTAAATACAACAAAGCGTCAGGGTGGTTGAATGCGAAGTAAACACAATCAATCGTGAAGGGTTTAAAAGGTTTGGAAATGGGGGGGGCTGCGCCCCCCCAACCCCCCCGCTTTTTTTAGACTAAACTCCCCGCTCACTAAAAAGCCGCGAAGAGATGCACAAAAACGTATTCGCCAAAACACAAGAAGGAGAAGTCCAGACAACAACGCGTCAGGGTGGTTTAATGCGAAGTAAACACAATCAATCGTGAAGGGTTTAAAAGGTTTGCAGGCTGCGCCCCCCCAACCCCCCCGCTTTTTTTAGACTAAACTCCCCGCTCACTAGCACGAAGAGATGCACAAAAACGTATTCGCCAACACAGTAGAAGGAGAAAGCCAGACAACAACGCGTCAGGGTGGTTTAATGCGAAGACAACACAATCAGTCGTGAAGGGTTTAAAGGGTTTGTAAATACAACAAAGCGTCAGGGTGGTTGAATGCGAAGTAAACACAATCAATCGTGAAGGGTTTAAAAGGTTTGGAAATGGGGGGGGCTGCGCCCCCCCCAACCCCCCCGCTTTTTTTAGACTAAACTCCCCGCTCACTAAAGGCACGAAGAGATGCACAAAAACGTATTCGCCAAAACACAAGAAGGAGAAGTCCAGACAACAACGCGTCAGGGTGGTTTGATGCGAAGAAAACACAATCAATCGTGAAGGATTTAAAAGGTTTGCAACTGGGGGGGTGGCTGCGCCCCCCCCAACCCCCCCGCTTTGTTTAGGCTAAACTCCCCGCTCACTAAAAAGCCGCGAAGAAATGCACAAAAACGTATTCGCCAAAACACAAGAAGAAGAAAGCCAGACAAGAACGCGCCAGGGTGGTTTAATGCGAAGTAAACACAATCAATCGTGAAGGGTTTAAAAGGTTTGCAGGCTGCGCCCCCCCAAGCCCCCCCGCTTTTTTTTGGCTAAACTCCCCGCTCACTGGCACGAAGAGATGCACAAAAACGTATTCGCCAACACAGAAGAAGGAGAAAGCCAGACAACAACGCGTCAGGGTGGTTTAATGCGAAGAAAACACAGTCAGTCGTGAAGGGTTTAAAGGGTTTGTAAATACAACAAAGCGTCAGGGTGGCTTAATGCGAAGTAAACACAATCAATCGTGAAGGGTTTAAAAGGTTTGCAAATGGGGGGGGCTGCGCCCCCCCCAACCCCCCCGCTTTTTTAGACTAAACTCCCCGCTCACTAAAGGCACGAAAGATGCACAAAAACGTATTCGCCAAAACACAAGAAGGAGAAGTCCAGACAACAACGCGTCAGGGTGGTTTGATGCGAAGAAAACACAATCAATCGTGAAGGATTTAAAAGGTTTGCAAAGGGGGGAGGTCCCCGATGAACCCTCCACAGGGATACTGCGTGTCGAAGCGCCGGCGCTGTGGCGCGGTGCAAATTTTCAACGTCCCCGATGAACCCTCCACAGGGATCCTGCGTGTCGAAGCGCTGGCGCTGTGGTGCGGTGCAAATTTTCTACGTTCCCGATGAACCTTCCACAGGGATCCTGCGTGTCGAAGCGCTGGCGCTGTGGCGCGGCGCAAATTTTGTGTGTCCCCGATGAACCTTTCACAGGGATCCTGCGTGTCGAAGCGCTGGCGCTGTGGTGCGGTGCAAATTTTCTACGTTCCCGATGAACCTTCCACAGGGATCCTGCGTGTCGAAGCGCTGGCGCTGTGGCGCGGCGCAAATTTTGTGTGTCCCCGATGAACCCTTCACAGGGATCCTGCGTGTCGAAGCGCTGGCGCTGTGGTGCGGTGCAAATTTTCTACGTTCCCGATGAACCCTCCACAGGGATCCTGCGTGTCGAAGCGCTGGCGCTGTGGCGCGGTGCAAATTTTCTATGTCCCCGATGAACCCTTCACAGGGATCCTGCGTGTCGAACCTGAACAGAACCCTAAACCCTAAACCCTGCAAGGCAATGCAACACGGCCAAGCAAACCACCAAAAAAAAAAAATGCCCAAAAAAAAAAAAAAAATCCCAAACTAATTCCAGACCCGTATTTAGGCCCCCCAAATTAGCCCTAGGCCATACAGCCGAGTTGTTCCGAAGGCATTGCTCCCCCGGGCCATGGGCTGGCCCGAGCGCAGTCAGACCGAGTCGGTGCTCTGGGCCAAAAAAACGTCGTTATGGGGTTTGAGAATTTTAGTTCTAGTTCTAGAGAGATCATGCATAGCTATTCCTTTTAGAGGGTTTTAGAAGGCTTTTTCGGGGTGCAGGCTTTGTTATGGGTTTTGCTGGGTTGATTACCAACGGTTATTGTTTGTCACAACCCCTAACGCAGTAGACGACTCTAGTATATTCCCGAAGGCCCAAACCCATGTGCCTATTATGCCACTAGGTACGGGGTCTAGCAGATTGCTGAAAGCACTAGGGGATTTTGAACTTTAAGCCCCAACCGACTAGCCCTAGACCCCCAAACCCTTAAACTCGTATCGCGTATACCGTATACACCAAACGCAAGTCTTTCAACCTGAAGCCTTAAGCCCCAAGCCCTTAACTCGTACAGCTTCGTCCACAAAGTTATCTGCAGGTAGGAAGAATAAGCTATATCATTCCCTGCACACTTGTAGTATATTCTGCCACGAAGCTCTAGTCTTTACGGGTTTAGCTTCGGGCTGAAGGGCTAGCGGGTTTCGTGCTTCTGCTTGAGACTGTTTGGGATTCCTCACAGGGTTGAGTAGCGGTTACTTCGTGGCTGCACTGGGGAGTTGCAAGCTTTTCTTGCGGCTTCACATTCTGGCAGCTACCTTTCAGGTTTCACGCCCCCTTTGCAATAGTTGTGTTGGGAACCTGGATGAAGAATATGAGAGGTCTTGAGGCTGGCGGATATCTATGGGCATTTCGCATGGTGCTGGAGTGTAGCTACACCGGCCATAGACTTGAAAGCACTCTTCCCTTGCAGGACTTCCTCCCGGATCGTAAGACTTTGCATTGATTGTTGGTGAGGGGCTATACAGAAAGTTATTCACCGGGTTTAGGGTTTGGAAAGTTTAGGGTTTAGGGGTGGTACCTCACAGCGCGACAGCTTCCGCAATCCGACAGACCGAAGCTACCCTCAAACCAAAGACCTTACACCTTACTTTCGAATCCTGAGAGATTGGGAATCGTGCTCCTATCATGCCCTAAAGAAGTTTCGGCATATTCGACCCCCAAAGCCCTCGCATAACTTTGCGATGCCCTGAATTGCACCCCAACCATGGGCCTCCAATACTCGAAACCCGACCCCGCAGTCCGTCTTAGCTCAGGTGCACGGATTCTTGCAGCGCTATAAGCTGACTGAAGGCTTCGTGAGCCTTAAGCGCCCCCTTTAGACAGATACTTTCGAGAGTTGGGGCGTTTGGGCGTAGGACGAAGGCTTGGGGAAGCAAAGCTCGGTGATGCTTTCGAGAGCCCGGGTACCTCTTGAGGCCTCCAAATTCGGGTTTAGGGAATAGGGCTACAGGCTCCCTCAAGATACCTGGGAGCATTTGGGGCAGACCATGGAGGGCGCAAGAACCTGTAGTCGCCCCTCATACTCCCTAGAAAACTTCTCTGAATTAGCGGTTTCGGGTGTACGTGTTTTAGGGGGTTCCGAGTCTAGCATTATCCACCCAGCGGTAGTCTGCACCCCAAGCTGCCCAAGCTCCTCATCCTCGACATTCTTGCGCTCTAAACCGACTTGATCGCCCGACTTGTTCTGTGTGCCCTGCCTCCCCTACTCGATTCTGCCATGAATTGGCACTCCCACTGTAGATCTGTGCAGACGAAAGGGTCGTTTAAAGGCAAGTGTGATCCTGAAGACCCGAAAACTCCAAACCCAACTCCAAAACCCAGCGCTTCACCTCTAAAGCACACACCCTAAACCCTAAGCTCCGAACCCTGAACCGTAAACGTGCAGCCACTGGGAGGCTACACGAATGGTGAGCTGAGCCCGCTGATGTTGGCCAGTATTGACACTCGAGATGAGCGTTCCAGCTTTTTCGGGGTCGACGATGGAATATTGGCCGTGGACTTTTCGGCCCTGGTTGAGGGCTCAGGGCCAGACTTACACCTTCATGTTCAGCATGGGGCACACGCGAATCCTCAAGGCTTCGTGATTTAGGGCTTAAGGAATTAGGCTTTAGGGCTCCTTCGGTTTTAGGTCTACTCACCACCACCACCACTACCACCACTACCACCACCAGTGTTTTGTCATGACCCTAGGAAGCTGCAGTCTTGACAGCCAGTGCTAGAGGATACTTCTCCGCCTGTCGGCGAGATTGTCGTCCAAGTTAAAGTGATCCATAATTCGGGTTCCTTTTAGGATTCCTGTAAGGGGTTCCTTCACATGCTCGTGCCACGATTTCTGTCTCGCGCCTGTTCCGATACTCCGATTCTGATGTTGACGCACATTGCCCTTAGAAGCATATGGACTGTCTTTCGGCTCATGTTAGGAGAAGAAGATCGGAAGGGGGGTCGTGCTGAAGGCGCCTAGATAATGTTCAATACTACTGTTTGGTGTGGTCCGTTTTGCTCAGGGAGTTGAGCGATGGTCTAGCACTGTGGCGTGAGGTCTGAGGTGATGTAGCAGGCTTGGGTTTTGAGTCTCCGCTTTTAGTTCCTTGAACCATGAGTCTATCGTCCGAAGCGATCTTGGCAAGCTCTGGGCCGCAGAGACTTTTGCGCTGTTGTGTTTCTGTGTGGTTTTTCTTCACTACATGCCACAGTCCCGAATAAAATCTCTAAACCCTAGACTCCCTACAGATGTAAGCCCACGCAAAACCCTACACAACACCTAGAGCAACTGTGAAAGCCCATTGCAACCCTACGAAACCCTAAACCCATGAACTCTGAAACCCGGTTCTTTGCTACTACTACTACTACTACTACTACTACTACTACTACTACTACTACTACTACTACTACTACTACTACTACTACTACGACTACGACTACGACTACGACTACGACTACGACTACGACTACGATTACGACTACGACTACGACTGCTGAAGGAAGGGAACGCCGACGTCCTGCGCAAACTCTTGGAGCAAAAGGCAGATGTGGACGAGCTGCTCCTTTGGAGGCAAGGGCTAAGGGACTTCGGGTGAGGAAATTTGAGGAGTTTAGGGTTGTTTAGGAACTTTAGGGCTTATACAGGGTTTCAGGAATTTTAGGGTTTCGGGCTTGGGTCACGAGGGGCCGCAAGCGTCTCAGCACTTCAGATTGAGCGCTGCGCGGCTGTTTGCATCCGGTTCTGAGCGTTTGGACCTGATCCTCAAGACCTGAATCTTTGCGTAAACGTAAGCCCTTGAAGCCTAAGCCCTAAAACCTCAAGCCGAAACCCAAGAAAAGCTCCGAAACCTCCAGAGCACTTCTCAGACCCGAGATTAGATTCCAGAGCCAGGGCTTTCAAAAACTCTGCACCGGAAGCCCTCAGACAGCACCTCCCAAGGCCCACACGGCCCGGATAGCTCTGCAGCCTTAGACCCCGAAAGCCCTAACCCCCCCGAGCACTCAAAGTACCCAATCCAACCAAGCCTGTAACAACTACACAACCCACCCAACCCTCAAACCTAAACCTCTATACCTGTGACAGTGGAAAAAGAGCATTTATGTGCTGTTCATCACACCATGTGCAGCCGAAGAATCTCAAATTTAGGGTCTCAGGGTTTGGGGTTGAGGGTTTCTGGCTTCGGGTTTGGGGTTTCGGGTTTAGGGTTTCGGGTTTGGGCTCCCTGTTTGGTTTGCTTGAGCCTCTCCCTGCCTCGAACTCAAGAAGAAGCATGATGCCTGGAAACCCGACACCTCCACATGGTTGCGATTGTAGGACAAGGTCGGTTTCTCAAGAGAAGCATACCGTCTTGAGTTTGAAAGCTAAGCCTAGGTTTAAACTTTCGAGACAGCTTTCCACATGCGAGGCTGCCCGAGGCTCATATCACTGGTTCCCGGCTCACTGCATTGTCTTTGGCAGCGACGCTGTCAACCGGAGAAGTCATCGATCTTCTAGTGGAGGCCGTTCGCGGTCAACGGTTTGAAAAATGGCGATTTGATGAGCCTCATGGCGTCAAGAACCGGGGGTGATGATGGAAATAATGCAGCGTCAGCTCGACACACTGCAGCGTAGGATTGTAACAACAGCGCCGAATAGCAGTAGTTTGTTAAACCGCAACTGCATGCTGATAGTGTGCGAGAGAGCGCATACAAACATGTCTAGGGCATGCACAAACAAGCAGAACATGGGTTCGAGAAGAAGAGCACTGATGTTTCTTCAGCATCTTGAGTCTTGTGTCAGAGTAGGCTTGCTGGTGTTCTGCATCTCCAACAGATTCTCAGCGAGAGCGACACGTCAAGCTTGATGCAGCTTACTGATGGGTTCGGCTTGCCTTTCTCTGTTCCTGATTCTGCAAAGCTTAGTTCCTGCACCCGAAGCCCAAAACCATGAAGCCTATTCCTAAATCGGAATGCCGCCGTCGTACACAAGCACCCGAGCAGGGTCTGCTGGGCGAGGAAGCCCCAAGTCCCTTTTGCGTTCTGCCTGATTATCGACGGTTTAGGGTTTAGGGTGTCTGTGGTCTAGAGGTTTGGCAGCTAGGGTTCTAGCCCAGGTCTCCGCGGCTTTGGTAAGAAGCTGTCGCAATTGCGGTCGTTGGGTTTCTGTTGGGCCAGTTTTGGCAAGTTTCTTCGCCTTCTTGTGGATTAGAGCGATTCGGGGACATTCTTTCTCAATAGCGCCTGAACCCCAATCCCGCAAGCAACACCCTAAACTCAAGTCAGCTAAACTCTAAACCCTGGCACTAGATTAATTTCCAATTCAATCCGAAAGGCACCTGTAGCAATGCCTCAAGCTCTCAACCCACACTAGACTGTTGAATCCTTTAACCTAAAGCCAAGAATGCTAATCCTACGCCCTAAACCCTGAACTCCCACCCCCAGAACCCAAAACCCTAAACTCTACACCCTAAACTCTAAACTCCCAGCTCCAGAATCCCACAGATTCCCCAAAGCAGCAACAGAGCGAAGCAGGGGAAAGCTTCCATGGAGCTACCTGTGGGCGCTGCTGGCGCATCTGCGGTCTCGGCAGCTACCTGCCTCGGATTTTAGCGGTTAAGGTTGTTTAGTTTTTTGCTCTTACCACACAATCACTATTATGATTTGTTGGTCTGTATCATCAGACTTTTCATTTTTTTCTGCTTGTTGTTGCTGTTTAAAGAGGGCTGCTTGGGTCTAGGGTTTTGGGGCTTCAGGTCTGGTTTCTTATATGTCTCTGGTATGGGATTGGGGGTACAGAGTTTGGAGTGCAGGTCGCAGTCTTCTTGGCTTGAGTCCAGCTAGGTGGGTCCATTGTAATTGAAAGCCCCAAACCCCAAATTGCAAGTCCAAACCCAACCCCCTAACCTCAAACCACAAACGTCGGACCCGCAACCCTGATCGTACCATTTCAGACCCTTAACCCCCAAAGGAAATCTGGTCAGCACTTACGCAGCACCCCTGTTTGCCGGCTTCTATCGTAATCGTGCTGGGGATCCCTCTCGCAGTCGTCCTGATAATCCTAAACACTAAAACCTGAAACTTAAACCCTAGATCCTAAACCTTGAACGGCAGATCCTAAACCCTAAACCTAAACCCTACGTCCTAAACCCTAAACCCCAAACAGCCCTGTTAAACCCGAAACCCTTCAAACGATCCAGCTTTTCCTAGCCACCAGTTTGGGATATGGATTGTTTCCTAGTTTTTCAGTCTGGAACCCCAACAAGGCATGATTTCGCGGTTTAGGTCTTATATAGGGCCCCAGGGCTGTTGAACGCGAACCCTAGTAGTGGGTTTTGGGGCTTAGAGCTTAGGGTGTGGGGATTACGGGTTTACGCTTTAGGGTTCGATGCCCAAACCAAAAAAATTTGAACGCACCCGGCATACGCCTAAGCCAAGCCCTCCCCGCCCTAAACCAAAAAAGCCTTCGAACACGCACAACTCTCACAACACAAACGCCCCAACCCCAACCCAAAAAAGCCCTTAACTCAACACCCCGAGCACAAGCCGGATGAAGCCCACTTGCCTTCCTTCATTACTTATTTGCTTTGTGTCCTTACATGTACTTCGTAGTGTTTTCGTGACTCTCCAGCCTAATTTCATGTCGTATGTTTGCGAGGCTGCATACTTCGGCAACGCCGGCACTCTGAAGTCGCTGTCGCTGGGCTTGTGGAGCCGTTTCTTCGCCCCGGGTCGAAGTCCGAACGCCCAAACATCCAAAAAGTTGGGTATTTAAAGGCTTTTGGTTCTTGGGCGATGCTGGAGGGGTCATAATTTTAGGGTTTCGGATTCTTTTGGTCTAGAGCCTGCGAGCGTTTCCTGGCGATTCCATATTAATCACACCACCGGTGCCAGCCACTCGGATTTAGGGTTTAGGGTGTAGGGTTTAGGGTTTGGGGTTCAGGGTGTAGGGTTTATAGGGTTTGGGGTTTAGGGTGTGGGGTTTAGGGTGTTTAGGGTGTAGGGTTTAGGGTTTCAGGGTGTAGGGTTTAGGGTTTGGGTTCAGGGTTTGGGGTCAGGGTGTAGGGTTTATAGGGTTTGGGGTTTAGGGTGTAGGGTTTAGGGTGTAGGGTTTAGGGTTTGGGGTTCAGGGTGTAGGGTTTTATAGGGTTTGGGGTTTAGGGTGTAGGGTTTAGGGTTTGGGGTTCAGGGTGTAGGGTTTATAGGGTTTGGGGTTTAGGGTCGCGGAACAGCTCACAGCCAGGTCGTATCCTCAGCATCATCGTTATTGCATTTGACTGCTTGCCACCTCGGTATTGTTGCTGAGTGGCGTGGGAGGTGTGATGGTGCTGTGAACGCGAGTGGCCCAAACCCCTGCACAAGAATGACACGCACAAAACGTATCACCAGAAGACAGAAGTGTACAGAAAGACAGATCGGTAGATGTATAGTTTCATGATCACGTCGTCTTTTGTCGTGCGGTGGTTGAAATAGTGCTCTCCCCCAAACGGGGGTTATGAGCCCAACGCTTAGATAACCACTGACTTGACGCCATGTGGGGGAGATCAGTGCAGGAGATGTTTGAGCAGCTACATGAAGATACCGAGCGAGTGCAGTTACCAAATGATGATGCAGCTTTGTCTGGAGATCACGAACCAGATTACGACACTGCTATTGCCCAAACCCCTCATGCTTCTTCTGGGAATGATGGCGAAGGTCCGGGGGATGCATCCCCTGGAAAACAGAGCGAGCTGTCTAGGATGGAGCGTGAGTTGGGAATGGCACAGTCAACAACCCGAGAACTAGACGAACAAGAGCTTATTCCGGATTACGGGCGTGGAGACTTGGGAGGACAGGTGCAGACCGGTGAAGGGGGTATTCAGAAACTGGGTGCCCAAGCAAGTGGTGCTCAGAGCACACAGGTGCCCGCTCCAGATCTCATGAGCCAGCTTGGAGTCCTTTTACAATCAACGCTGCAGTCGAATCTGTTGCCTATGTTAGACGAGGTGCGGATGACTCAAGCTACGGTTCTATCTCGGTTGGATAAGCTGGAAAGTGAGCAAAGGTTGAGCGCGGCAGGATCGGAGGACCCAAGGGAGCGACGGGCAAAGAGCCCCGGTTCCAGTCAGAGGAGTGTGGGACCAATGAGGCGACCCGGATCTTCTCACCGTGAGGTTGAAGCTGTTGGTGATCATTTGGCTGGGATGAAGCTGGAGTCTGGGATGGCGGAAACGGCGGTGATGAAGCATGAGCATAGCGAGACGGGGTTGTTGGGGGTTCAAAGTCGTTTCTCTGACCGTGGCACGGGGCAGGTTCGTGACAGACCACCACTTGAGGCACCAGAAGGGATAGTCATGATTGAAGGAATTCCGCACGCCTGGCGTTGGAAAGCCGGAGTGATGGTAGTAGATCGGCTAGAGGTGAGACCTGAGTGTGAGAGGAGCGAAAGACCAGAGCGTGTGAGAGAAGAAGAGGGAGAGACGAGAGTCGGCAGTGAGCGTTTTCGTGACGAAATACACCAAAGCCCCCAAGCCTCGCTAACACAAGTCCTGCATCCTAGAGCGCAGTCTCCGTTTGCACCCGTAAAACAGGAAGGAAGCTTCGACAGACGATCCCGCAGCGCAAGTCCCAGTAGGAAAGTATCTCAGCGAAGTCCGAGTAGGATCAACAAATCGCCAAAGCATGTGATGGAATCCGCTAGCACTCCGAAGGCTGCCAAAAGCAGTCCGATGCAGTTTGGAAGCCCACCTACCAAGCCCAGAATCATTAAGTACCCATTCTCACCTGGAGGAACCGAGATCAAGCCACCTCCATTGCCGGTGACTTTTAATCACACGCAAGAGCAGATGAATCCGCCTATCGCGCCTAGCGTAGCGAGCAGTAGCCATCCAAGTCGTGACAAGTACACGCCGGGAGACCGTGTGTGGTGGCAAGTGCCTGCGTTAGCTGAGCCAAAGAAGGACGCGGCGACATTAGCCGCCGACTGGATCGCACAGGTTTGTGTTATCATGAGTGACATTTCACCTGGATCGGGGGAGTGGTTTCAGATGGTACTTCAAGAGGCTAGGGATGCTTATGAGAAGTGGGCTAAAGCACCAGCGATTGAGAGAGCGCAAATCAGAGCTGCACCCAGTGTCTATCTTCAGGATGCAAAGTTCGCACGCCTTGAGGCCAGAGTTTTCAGCATGTTGCATGCCAGTTTGCCCCAAAGCGTGAAAGATGAGCTGTTAGCGGCTAGAACACTTAATACCGTTTCAGCGTTGTTCCTGGTATTGAAAACCTATCAGCCGGGAGGGCTGCGGGAGCGAGCGCAACTGTTGGATGCACTTACCAAGCCCGGAGTAGGATCAAGCGCAAAAGATTCCGTGGACAAACTCAGAACGTGGCATCGCCACTTGGTGAGAGCTACTTCCATGGGAGTCGCGGCTCCTGATCCGAGCATCTTGTTGCGCGGGTTGGATGATTTGGTTGGCCCCACCATGGCAAAGCATCCGCAAGTCAACTTTCGGTGTAGCATGGTAAGAAACCGCCTTGCATTGGATCATGCCCCTACGCATCAAGGAGTGTTGGAGTTCGCTCAGGCGTTGCAGTCAGAATTCTCCATGTTGGCTATCGCAGGTGATGAGGAGAGTAGTGAAAAACCACCCAAAAACCCCAAACTCGCGCGCGTGGAAGAAGACATCAATTCTAGTGCAGAGAAGGGTGGGGGTTCGAAAGGTCCAAAAGGCAAGAAAGGTGGAGAGAAGGGAGCGAAGGGATCGAAAGGGAAACCTAAGTGTTATCACTGGCTAACAGCCGGAGGTTGCCAAAGAGGGGAATCATGTAACTTTACACATGACATGGATGAACTCTGGAAAGCCGCTGATTGCAGAAGTAGATGTTTCGTATGTAGTGCAAAGGGACACATGGCGCAGGCTTGTCCAACCAAGGAATCCGGAACGGGGTCAAAAGGTGGGGAAAAGGGCCACAAAGGCGAATCGGGTAAGGGAGCATCCAATCAGGATAGGCCAGTAGCAAAAAGAGTGGAAGAGGATACAGACAAACCGAAACCCGAAGGACCGGGATCCACTCAAGCTGATCTTCTTAAAGGGGCTGAGGCGTTGCTAAAAGCTCTACAGACCAAAGCTTTAAAGATGAAACCCAGTCTTAACCGACTCACGGCTCACAGCTCTAGGACCGGACTTCTGGATTCAGGAGCTTCTACTTGCTTAAGGCGGTTGGTCCGTGACGAGGATGAGACACTGCTGGTCTCCCGAACGGTGGAGCTCGCAACAGGCACAGCTGAGATGTTGGTAAACCCATTCGGTACGCTGCTTGCTAGAGAGGACGTGGAGTGTATCGTAGCGTTGAAGCCATTGATTAGCATGGGGTGCAAGTGGGAATGGTCGGAAGACAAGTGCGTCTTGCATCACCCTCATAGGGGAGATATCAAACTGGATACCTCATCGGGTTGCCCTCGAATGCCGGAAAGCTTAGCGCTGAAGCTGATTCAGGATGCTGAGGAAGCGGTGAAGCAGAAAGTGGTTTTTGCTTTGAGGGCAGTACAAATCCTGCAGGAGTCCTCGCATTTGGAGGTTGATGAGGTGTTGGGGAAGTTGGTGGTTGCGATTCACACAGCAGTGGAGGTAGCAGCACACCTAGGGGCAACAGCTAGGGCCATGTGGCCCAACCTCGATGAGGACTTGGTTCAGGATCTCCAGAGATGGCCGCGACAGGACTCGAATGCGGTAATGTGGAATAGGAGAAAGCGGAGAGCAGTAGTGAAGACCGGGGGAGTGTTGATCCAGATCGGAAAGTGTAAGGAGGAGCGTGCAATAAAGCAATACGGCGCAGCTTTAGGATGGGAAATCTTGCAGGTCACGGAACAACTCACTGATCCGCATGATTTTCGGTACCTCCTTGAAGTGGTTACCTCTGGGAAGGTTCGGGGGATAATCGCGGGAGATTGTGGCGAAGCTGAAACTTTGACAGCTTTGTATACCACACTGCTGATGCAGATCAACCATGTGGTTGAGGGTGAGTGTCCCGAGGTGAAGCCTTTCTCCATCCTTGTGGGGCCTATGGCACATGGTTTGCAGAAGTGTTGCGATCAAGCTGGGTTTCGGCAAGCTAGCTCGGTGGAGTCTTGGAGGCGCGGAGTAGAACTCCTCGCTAGACGGGCAGCGTGTATTAGTAAGATGAAGCCGTTCGATATGACGGAGCATGTTAGAGCCGGCCACTGGCCACCGCATAGACGCTGCCGAACATGTATTTTAGCCACCGCCTGCCAACGACAGCATAGGAGACAAGGGGCGCCGGCAAGCTATGTTTTGGGTTTAGACTTGATAGGCCCCTTTCTGCCCGCTCCAGATGATATCAGCCAGAAGCGGAGATACGGACTGGTTGCAGTGTTAACGGTTCCAGTGGACAAGCAAGGCAAGCCCGTGTTAGGAGACAAACAGGAGCAGGATCAGGCGAAGGAGGGTGATAAAGATTACGGGCCTGAGCTTTTACCACCTGGCGGGATTTGGGATGATGTGGAGTGGGTTGAGGAGATGCTGGTTGACAAGGAGGGAGCACAAGCGGAGCAGGCGTGTGAACAGGATCAACCAGAAGGGGAACATGCGAGAGAGATGAGTGATCAGGGATTTGAGGGAGAGATAGAGTTGGAGGTTGACGCGTCAGGTGAAGAAGACCCTAGACAACAACCCAAACACTTGGATCCTGATCCGGAGCTTAGGTGGAAGGAAATCGTGTTCGTGGAACTTCTTGACAGAAAAACTCCTAAATCAACTTTGCTAGGTATCGGTCGTATCCATGCACAGTTGATCGAACTGGGCTTTCCGATCACTCGCATTCACACAGATAGTGGCACCGAGTTTGTCAGTGAGGAACTGCGAGAATACACAGCCGCAAGAAACATCACTCTCACTCACAGCGCGCCGGAAGAACATGATTCAAACGGTCGGGCCGAAAACGTAGTGAGAAGGTTAAAAGGCCAAGTTAGGGCCAGCATTGTAGAGTTGGGGGGAGATAAGCTGCGCTGGACTGTAGCGCTTAAAGCTGCAGCGGCGACGTGGCGAGCCAACGTGTTGCAAAGCATGGGCTATCAGATAAAGCCCGTGATTCCATGTGGGACGAAAGTCCAGGTGCTTGTACGGTCATGGCTTCGCAGAAACAAACGAGATTGGAGATTGAATGCTGCTGACGCTGTAGTGCTTTGTCCTGCCACTCATGTGCGCAAGGGGTATGTAGTAGCTGTAGGTAAGAAGCTTTGTATCGTCACGAAACTGAACTTTGGTGAAGAGTCGAAACTCACAGTATCGTTGGAGAGTGCCGTCCGACCTGTCGCTGAGCTTGCAGGCCCCCACGTAGGTTCGGATCACATTAGACGGAGGCTTCGCACCAAGACCCCTAAACCTCCCACGATGCGACACAGGTTCAAACATGTAGTAAAAACCCTAGCTTTCGGCAGGGATCGCTGGCTTGAAGATCAGCAAGCTTTGAGGCTTGCTACCCAGGCCAATTTTGACCTGAACTCGGCAGTGCGGTTCCTTGAAGCTTCGTCGTATGGGCGTTCAGGGACGGGACCGGCTGCTTCGCGTGGTAGGGAGGGGTCTCATTACATCGTTGGAGCGTTTCGGATGGGTGGGGTATTGGGTTTAACACGCCTCACCAAACAGAGAGAGGGTTTTGCGAAGCTGCTGTCTAGGATCATGCGGGAGGTATGCCCGCAAGCCTCGTTCTCCACACTGTGTTTGTCGGTTGATGCGCCAGCGATTCCGCATAAGGACAGCTGCAATGAAGTTCAGTCCCAATCGCATGTCGTCTCGCTCGTCATGCCGAGTCGTGGAGGTAGACTTTGGGTCGCGCTGGGGCCAGGTGATGAGGTATCTGGCAAACTTCAGATATTGGAACATAAGGGCAAACAAATCGCAGGACAGCTGTTGGACGTTAACCCCTCAGTCAGTTTTTCGCCGCATCGGTTGCACGCTACGGAGTCTTGGTCGAAGTCACAACGTCGCATTGTTATCTTGGGGTACACTGTAGGGTGTTTTTCACACATGAACAAACCTGACAAGCATGTGCTCCATGAGTGTGGGTTTCGCCTGCCTGACAGTCCGGCGAAAGGGGGAGAGGAACCCAAACCTTCTGTTTTTTCCGTGTCACCACAGTTTTCAGGCGATTCCAAAAACCGTGTAGGAAAGGAGTGCCTAGAGAAAGAACAAAAATCCCAAAACCCAAATAAAAATAGCATAATCCCAACAACATCCTTTTCGCCTGTACTTTGTCAGAAGCCTGAGTCGGAGGATGCCAAGGTCCGGGATGGGGGGAGCCCAGTGAGTGGCCCCTTGAGCCCGGCAGATGAGGCAGACGACGATGAAGGTGCATGGTCGTTTGAGCGTGAGTCGTCGTGTCTTTCGTTTGTTGAAGGCATGAAGTTGCAACTTGAAGTTGGAGAGCCCGAAACTGAGGGCGAGGATCCAGAACATGAGCATGCGCATGGTGGAGAAAATGAGCCTAAACCCGCGGGTGAGGGCGAGGACTCCGAACGTGATGATGCTGATGAGTTCATGAGCGTAGTAAGTTGGCATGAGGACTCAGAGGCAGATGATTGTAACGAGGATTTAGGAAAGATTCCGGAGATTGGGGCATGTGTAAGTTCCTTGGGGGATTTGTCAGTAAGACCTCGTGAAAAGTTGAGCGCGTTGGACAGGTGTGAGCAGTATGTTCGTCAACTAGATGAAGCTCAGCTGAGATTGAGCTCTTTCGCCGAAGATCGGTTAGCCGCGTGGATAAGCAGTGAGCCTCGGGATCTAGGGGAGGGAGAGAGTGACAGTGAAGGAGAGGAGATGAAACAGATGAGGGAGCTTTGGGAGAGGATCGGAAACATTCAACATGAGCTCAAGTCACTGACGCATGAGACATTGGGTGAAATCCGCGAGCGCGTAGGCGTAGAGGAAGCTCCGTCTGAAGGGGAAGTTTTTCAAACGCGAGTAGTGGGTTTAGCGGAGGCCTTGGCCAGATGGGAGGTTTGGGAAGGTCCGGCGCAAGATGAGCTGAACTCGCTTATTCTTGAGAAAGGTGCGTTGGTGAATGTCAGTTGGGCGGATGTGCGGAAGTGGCGTGAGCGTGGAGTTCGCGTCACCATACTGCCATCGAAGCTTGTTTTTTCCATTAAAGCACCTAATGCCAGGCACAAGGTGAGAGTAGTGGCATGCGGAAACATGGGGCCGCCGAGAGATGAGAGCAAGCATGAGTACAAAGAGTCCGTGTTCACCTCGTCACTGGACATAACACACTTGCGGTCAGCATTGGCTTTCTCTGCCAAAAGAGGTCAGGAAGTAGCCACGGTAGACGTCAGAACTGCCTTTCTCAACGCTGACTTGCTTCCTCGATCTAGACAGCTTGCAGAAAAGCTAGCCGAGAGCGGAGAGAGTTGTGAAGGACAAGGTGACATCCGGGATTCGGTTCAGGAGTTGGTAGTCCTAACGCCGCCACGGTCTCTCGTACAACGGGGTCTAGTTCGACCTTCCACCCTGTGGAGGGTGGATAAGGCGATGTATGGGCTAGATACGAGCCCCAGGGACTGGGGTCTTCATCGAAACTCGGCTTTGAGGGACTTGAGGATCATCGTTGGTGATAGGGAATTACGACTTTGGCAGTCGTTTGCTGATGAGAACTTGTGGTTGATTTCGGAAACGGAGCCGATTCAGGATTGGTGTGGACCTCAGGACTGGACGCCTTTAGGACTTCCGGCGAAGATCCTTGGATGGGTAGGCGTGTACATCGATGACATGATTATTGGAGGTGACAAAGCGGTTGTTCAAGGGGTTCTGGACGCAGTGACGGCTCGGTGGAAATGCGGGACACCCGAATGGGTAGGTCATGAGTCGTCTCGGCCTCTGAGGTTTCTTGGCTTAGATCTTCATTGGGGTGAGGGCCGGAACCTTCATATTACGCAAACCGCTTACATCAAAGAGCTCGGAGCCAGATACCAGGAGCAACTTAGCAGGGTCAAGGCCAGCAACTGTCCGATGGCCCCGGGGACCGGTGAAATCGATGAAGAACCGGAGAAAGAAATCAGCGACATACGCAAGGGGCAAAAGATCTTAGGCGAACTTTTATGGACAGCGGTTCGTAGTAGACCCGACATATCGTTTGCGGTGTCGAAGCTATCTCAATGGATCACGAAGGCACCCCGAAAGGTGTACGACCTAGCACTGCAGACATTGGCCTACTTGTGTGATGTGCCCGACGTGGGCTTGGTGTATGAAGCTGGCGAGCCTGAGAAGCCACATCCATGGCAACGGACTGCAAGCTCTAGAGGGCTCATTGAAGTCTTCACTGATAGCAGTTTCGCGCCGGAAGCCTCAAGGTCACACGAGTGTTGTATCATGCAGTTTGAGGGTTGTACAGTAGGTTGGCATGTGGCTAGACAACCTTACATGACTGCTAGCTCTTGTGAATCAGAGTTGCTCGCAACCTGCACGGGTTGCCATTATGGTCAAGCGCACGCTTGTATGATCAGTGAGCTGCTGCAGGAGCGACCTCGGGTACAGGTCTTTAACGACAACATGGCGGCAATTGCAGTGTTCACTGGACAGTCCACGCAGTGGAGAACCCGTTCGCTGAGAATCAAAGCTAGGACCTTGAAAGAAAGATGGAGCATGAACTTTTATGAAATCTTCCATGTCGATGGCGTGCACAACGGGGCTGATATAGGCACGAAGCCATTGGCAGCACAGCGACACAGATTCTTGAGGGAGATTCTAGGCGTGAGAGAAGAGAACATGTCCAGAAAACAGAGCGGTGCGAAAACTCCCAGTACACAAGAACTGAAGTGTCTTCAAGTGGTCTTGTTAGCATGTTGCTTGTGCGGAGCGGGGGGACAAGGGACGCAGGAACCGCAGGACGGGGCCATAGATTGGGGCGTCTTCAGTGTGATTGTCATTGGCGTGGTAGTCGCTTGGGAACTGTTTAAATGGGTTGGTAAAGCATGTTTCCGTAGCATAACATGTCACGTGTCACATGTCCCGCATCAGCTTCATGAGCCTTTTGCTGAGGATGCTGTGTCAGATGAGGAGAGAGAAACCGAGCGGAGGGCTGAGAGAGACGAGAGGCTTAGGCTACGAAGAGTAGGGCAACCAGTGAGACACCCAGAACCAGATCAGGAACCAGCACCAAATCGTACGGCCTTCGGCCAGCCGCGTAGCCCACTAATGACTCAGTATGCTGATGACGCTATCGCGGTGTTGGATCGGGCGGAAGTGGCCTTTGAAGCCAACCAGCGGAGAATGTTAGGTTTGCCTCCGTACCCTCTCGTTGTTATCAATCCAGCCTGGGGGCCAGCTCCCAATCAGCCGACGGTCAGAGAATTGAGACGAGGTCAGGCTTCTTGGGGTGGGATTGCAAGCTCGCTTCATCACCGGCCGCCTGCCACGGAAAGACGAGACAGCTACCAGTTGGATCAAGCCCGTTGGGTCCTGATACGATGGCATGTTCGAGGACGAGTCCGGTTGTTTGACCCCACATCAACACGGATTCCGATTGACATCAGATGCTTATCTGGTAGACGGCGAACTCTCATCATCAAGAACACCGACGAGCGGGAGATTGTCGATGACAACTTCCGAGACCAAGCGCAGCGATATCTCCAGAGCGAGTGGGTTGGCCGAACAGAGTTCGAGGTACTGCCCGATCTGTACAGAGCATTCGTGAGGGATCCTGCGGAAGTGGATTGATGATGGCTTTGGCCATGCCAAAGGGGGGAGCGCGGAACAGCTCACAGCCAGGTCGTATCCTCAGCATCATCGTTATTGCATTTGACTGCTTGCCACCTCGGTATTGTTGCTGAGTGGCGTGGGAGGTGTGATGGTGCTGTGAACGCGAGTGGCCCAAACCCCTGCACAAGAATGACACGCACAAAACGTATCACCAGAAGACAGAAGTGTACAGAAAGACAGATCTGTAGATGTATAGTTTCATGATCACGTCGTCTTTTGTCGTGCGGTGGTTGAAATAGTGCTCTCCCCCAAACGGGAGGGTGTAGGGTTTAGGGTGTAGGGTTTAGGGTTTGGGGTTCAGGGTGTAGGGTTTATAGGGTTTGGGGTTTAGGGTGTAGGGTTTAGGGTGTAGGGTTTAGGGTTTGGGGTTCAGGGTGTAGGGACTCCTCGTGCCGGCTCTCTCTGATTCTTAGTAGGGAACGGGGGGGAGTGAGGGTTCGTAATAAGGGTGCCGCTGTAGGGGTTTGGGGGTACCTTTCAGGGTCCTGTTCGGGATCTTTAATGGATCCGGTACTATATACTGTCTGGTTCTTAGTAGGGAATGGGGGAATGGATTATGGAGCCTCTACTTTAGGGATCCATTCGCCCATTGCCTACTAAGAACCAGACAGAGGTTGCAACGATTTAGCCTTCAATGAGTTGCCAATCTGCCGCAAGGTTCAAGCTTTTGAGAGGAAGTTGAAACCATATGGGGGGTGATTGTCAAAATTAGGGTCCGTTTTTGGGTACGCTGAATATTAGGTGCCGTACTATTAATAATAGGGACCCAAAAAGGGACCATGATTTTGACAACCACCCATGTGGACCTATGGAGGAGTGGACTCTCGTTTCTGGTTTCGTCTTTTCGGCTCTCTGGCATAAACACTCAACCCATTAATCCGCAGTTAAGCCCAGAACCCTAAAGCCTAAACCCTAATAGGATAAACCTTAAACCCTGAACCCCAATAGCAGAAACCCTGAACTTAGGTAACTTAGGAGAAGCCCAACAGCAGGAAGCCTGAACCCTAATAGCAGAAAGCCTAAACCCTAAACCCCCCATAGCATCAGTCCGAGACATTCCTGGCCGTCAAAGAAGGAAGGAGAACGTCAAACCCCCAAAACCTGAACCCTAAACCCCCAAACCCTAAACTCGAGTAGGAGCCTTCATCTTCGCGACGTCCGCCTCGGAGTAGCAGACTCGGTTGGTCTCTGCAGCGACCCAAACCTGTGGAGCAGGCTTCATGTTAAGGGTTTACGGGTTTAGGGTTTCAAGGTTTAGGGTTTAAGGGCTTACTGCATGCATGAGTCCTTTTTTCTGTGCGGGTAGGTAGAGGTGGGTAGGAAGGTAGGTAGGTAGGTAGGGAAGGAGGTACATGCTACTTGCATACTTGTTGGCTTGCTTGGGTGTCTGTGTGTTTGTTTGCTTGCTTGTTTTCGTTGGACTGCTTGATTGTCATGCTTGATGGTACATACACACATACTTGACTTGCACACCTATGTAACCACTCTCCCATTTACTCAGTCGCTCGGTGACACGCTAAGCGACTCCGCTCAGTCAGCCTATCAGTCGTTCAAACACTCACACAGTTACTTACTGGCCCTCACACAGACGCACACACACTCACACATTAACTCACTTACATGCACATGTAATTACCAACATGTGGACAGTACGAACTGTGTATGCGCATGCACCCATCGAGATGCGTATTAGTGCCTGCCTCAACGTTGTTATCAAGGCCATCATCATTGTCATCGAACCCTATAGGTATACACATAATGCTCTGCTTCGTACGGAGCACTACGCCGTCGTATGTGCTGACTCGTTAGATGGAATATGCGTCGTTATATCGTGATAAAATTTCACAATTGTCTCATCTCTATTGCAATCGTCTGTTTCTTACATTGTGCTTTGGGCATGATTATGGTTATATGCTATGACCCACCACGTAAAAACTGCGATGCTGCTCCACCTTGTGCCGGCAGGTATGCTTGCAATGCGCGAGCCATTGTTAACTTGACTTATCAAGTGTGAGCACATTGGAGTTTCCGTAAATAGGGGACTGTCATATAGTACCCTGAATAGCAGGATCCTTTTTTTAAGGACCCCCCCAAAATGAGGTACCCTGAATTTTTCGGAAACCCCCATATGCGGAAGGATGAGGCATGCTTTGGGCCACTGCCGGTGGCCTTGTGGTCCAGGCCAACCTCCTCGAAGTTGGCGTACTCCTGTCGTCGTCTGGGGCTTCGGAGCACTTTCGAGTTTGAACTGGGGTTTAGGGTTTAGGGTTGGATTTGAACTAGACTGGGCCTTTAAGTAACCAGAACGAAAAAGGTATACACGTCTACTTCATAGTGGTTCCTTTACAAAAACCAAAAGAATTACAGCATGACACTCCGAAGCTCAGTAGGGTTTCAGAAACCATGGCAAAGCAACGGAGAACCAGAGTAATGTCCAGATAGTAGACTCGTTGAAGTAAGGACCACGCAACCGCATGCTCCTACGAGACAGCATGAAGAAGTGTTTCGGAGGTTCTGTCGCTTTTGCTGTCTTGGCCATGTAGGCACTGGCTGTTGACATGTCATAGTTTCGAAAACACCACTGCCATGAGTCTGAGTGTTCTGGGATTTAAGCGATATGCCGACGATAAATTTGTGATCTCCACAGTGCTACGACCAAGATGGCGTTTGCTACTGCTTTGCCGGCTTCTAACACCGTGTGGTCCAAGACCTTCAGTCTTCTTGGTTCAAAAGCACCAGGTTCGAGCAATACTCATCTGCAAGCCTTCGTCAGTCTTGGCTCGTGCTTACACTGCAACACGCAAAATATCAAAACTGTTCAGGTTGACGAAGACAAACATGATGATTATGATGATGTTGTTGTTGGTGTTGCAGAATCGCTGATGGCGCTGCTGGTGATGATGATGTTGGTCACACAAGCAGTGGTCATGGCGAACAAGGTGGTCATGAACGATGAACTGTCGGACGGCCAGGTGACCACACTGTGCCCCCTCCTGGCTTCAAGAGCACAACCTGCGAGATCCCGCTGTCCTTGCCGAACGCCTCGGCATGCTCAGTGGCCTCTGCCGTGTTGAAGAAGAGCCGGCCCGTCCTGTGAATGTCTGACAGCCAGCAGGATGTGGGTGGTTGTCGATTTTAGGGTCCCTTTTTGGGTCCTTATCTCAATACGGCACCTAATATTTAGGATACCGAAAAAGGGACCATCATTTTGACAACCACCCATGTGTAGTTGTTGGTTAGCTCCAGACGCAAACATAACGGCTTAACTCGTGTGCATGAAAATTCACAAATATGGCTTGTTGAAGGATGCAGGGACATGCGGGCAAACTTCCGGTTCTGTGATCAATGTGTGGGAGGTTCAGAAAATGCCGGGCCATTTCTATAACCTGAATAATAGTATTCTTGAAATGACAACCGCTGAACAGGGACAGAAACTTCATGATGGGCCATGTTCGCAACCTTGCAAGCGACGGACTACCAGTGGGTGGTCTCTTGAGTTACAGATAGGACCCTACCAGTTAACTTATGAACGGAAACGACCTCGAACATCCCTAAACCCTAAACTGCTCAACTGTCAGCCTGCCCTGTCACAACTGGTCGAACCACTTCTAGCAGATTCTAGCACAAGGGGTGGCGCACCTTTGGGGGTTTGGAGCTTGGGGTTGAGGGTGTAATTATTAGCTGCTGACTTCATAAGCCCCCCCCAAAAGTGCACACTTTTAGTTTTATAGCGGGTAACATTATACCAAAAATGTAAAGTGTATCCGCTCAGCTACTAAGAATTAGGGTGCTCGACTCTGCTGAGGCAGCGGCTTGGTACACCGCAGCACCATCTGACCTTAAGGCATGCTACACTGGATCACGCGGTCTGAGATCTCCGTGCGCGTGCCCTTGAAGCCTATTACACTTTAGGATGGTTTGTTCCTTTAATGTCGCAAACGGTGGCAGAAATATGCAGAAATGGGCTTGTATACATCGGGACGAAAGACTCTAAGCTTCCTGAAACCCGAAGCGTTTGAAACCTTGGACCCTGAAGCCGTCACCAACCTTGTCAGAAGCTGATCCCGAAACCCCAAACCCCTTAACCCCAAACTCCTAAACCCTCGAGAGTGCCCGTGGAGCCTGTAAGTTCTATGCAGAAGCAAAGTGCGGTGGGGGCCATGCCGATAGCTGGAGGGCTTGGTTTAGGCTTCTAGGGTGCAGGGCTTTGGGGTTTAGGGTTGTTTTGAGGTACCTCCGGCGTTGTAGGGGGTTTAGGGTCTAGGGTATGTGGCTGGGGGCAGCAGGGTCCCCTAGACCCTAAACAGCCCATTATCATCCCTGGAACGATATGGGACTTGGGGCTCTTGCTTAAAATTAAGGGCCCCGGGTGCTTGCCGAGGATTCTAAGATCTTTGCCCGAACCATTCTTATAGTATTGCAGGGGTGCTGCAGACTCAATACCCTTTGGCGACACGTCCCCTGAGTATCCCACTAGCCATGGCTCCAATCACAAGCCAGCAGTGGTCTTGAAGATTTCACGGGGACTAGATGCAAAAAAGCAGAGGCTGTAAGCGTTTCATGCTGGGGCTGGGATTGTTGCTTCGATCCGTGTAAGTCAATGGAGAGAGGTCGGTAAGAGAAAGAAAAAGGCTGCTGGGTCTGGTATGTTGAGGCAAACTATCGCTGCTGTAGTTCAGCGTGAGTCCATGCGACTGGGCAGCTTACTCCCTCTTTCTTGGATGACGTGACACTCATCCGTCTGCTCCTCTAGGAGGTGCTTGGTCCTTGAGCCAAAGGCTGCATATAATAGCAGCACACTGAACCGCAACATAGCCCAAAATCGAAACCCCTGAAACCCAAAGCCTTCAAGGAACGCAACTCCTTGGCTTGTGCAGAAAGCAACCGAATTGGCAGAAACGGTTGGGAAAAAGGGACCTTGATATGGAAACCCTCTTCGATTGACGTGTATCTGATGA